TGAAAACCCACTCAAAGTTCAAACACAAAAAAATAGCACTTAACTTGGTTGGACATCTTGAAGTGGAGGACTCGTATCTTAATAAGCGTTGACGTCGGCCGGGCTCATCTTTACACTGGTTCTCATAATGTCGACGTTATTTTTACCACTGTAGAACAGAAACAGGAGCACTGCTGCCCAGGACGGCTATCCGCTTGGTCTTGAAAGTCTAAAGTCAACACGCAGGTAACTGGTTTTCATAGTGACGAAACTAATTTTACCTCTGTAAAACAGAAACAGGAGCACTGCTGCCCAGGACGGCTATCCGCTTGGTCCTGAAAGTCCTAAGTCAACACGCAGGTAACTCGTTCAAATTTCGCCTCTTTACCAGAACGCGGCAAGGAGCGTGTTTGCAGCTTCCGGCCAGAAACGTTTTTTCTAGGCAATTACGGCTCGCCTGTTCTTACTCATCCCAAGAGCAAGCTTCACGAGTAACGTCCCAAGTAAGTTCCACACGCCAGTCAGTAAGTGAGTCTCGCCTCTTAACCAAAACGCGGCCGGGGAGCATATTTGCCGCTCCCCGCCGGGAAACATCTCTCGTCGTGAATTACATCTTGCCTATCTCTTTCAAGCCGGTTTTCAAGAGTAACCTCCAAAAGTCCAGCAAGCCCGTAAGTGATTCCAACTCGAATTTCCTTCGTCTCTTTCACAAAACGCGGGCTCCCACTATGGCTTAAATTATCGCCCCCTTAATTATGGCAAACTTTGCGTTTTCAACCCCTGAATGCGGAAATAAGGGTGATCGCGCATGCGCGCCCTTCTTCACTTAGCCAACAACCGAACCATCAATCGCCAAAAACCTGAATGACTTACATTGAAAGACAAGTAGCAACCTTTGACCTTTCTGTCACGTACTTCCTCTCTTAAGGTCAACTATACAATGAAAATTCCTTCTAGAACATTCTAAAGGACAAAGCGCGCGAAATCATGACTTGGCAAAAAAATTGCCTCCCTTTCCCTGCTTCTTTCACAATGAATCAAGCTTGTACAAAATTTGCAAATAAAAGAAAATAAATAATATTCTTTTAAACTAAATAATATTCCCAGAAGCATCTGTTTTTCCCCAAAATTAAAGCCTTAAAATAAATAATTCAGAATCAAATAAAAATTAAGATTTCCATAAATCAGAAAATCATTCACACAGTTTTTATAACGCTATCAGACAAATTCTCTACACAACAATTCATTACATCACTATATTTCATTAAAATGAAATTTTATTGCTTAAGAGCACGTAAAAGTTAATTCGATGTTTAGCTGAATGACTAGAATCTTCTCATTTGCTTGTATGGTTTGTCACTTATCGTTTATATTATTTTAGAAATCCTCCTGATTAACTTGAAAATCCAAAACTTGTAAAATATTCTGAAAATCCGAAGAAAAGCTATGACGCTATTTTCGTCATTGTAGGATTTTCTTTAAAAAATTGTAAAAGGTGAGAGTATAGATAATAAAACAATGGCCGGGAAGCTTTACATATAATTAAATGAATTAGTGCAGTATTTACTATACATAATTTGCTATGCCTTGTGGGAATGAATCAGAAAACTTAAAATAGCAGTTTAATTGCTTGTTTGATTACATATGAGATACACGTAACCTTCCAACACATACGCGCACAATTTACGACAAATTCAGTTTTTAATGCGCATTCTTCGCATATCGAAGCTGAGACGTCTAAAGGTCATTTCTATTCCTCCTTTCTACCCTTCCCCACATCATGGAATGTGCCAACAGGAAGTCATTTGGCTTTTTTTACTGGACTTTCGTGCTACGTGGCAGCTTTTTCGTAAAACTTACGACACAAGCGTGGTCGTAGGTGAAAATTCGGAAAATATATTTTCATCAAATATTTTGTAATTTTGTGTTATTAATTGCCGTGTATTATTTGAATTTGAATACATTTGGCTCTGTAAATTTTATATCGGTTTTCATGGCAAAAAACGTATGTGAAACCAACTGATTTTGCTGGCATTCTTCAAGAATTATCTGATGAAGAAAAGGAAGACAAGGAAACCTTTGGATGGGAGAACAATTTCCAAAGATTCCAGAGATTTCCAAACCTTATTTTCTTTTCTTTATATTTTTTAGAAATAAATAAAAATCGTAATAGCTTAAAGGGCGTTTTTGTAACCAGTAAGAAGTAAAATTCCTTGCAGAAGTAAGTACTTCTAAACTTTTTTTCCTCCCAAGATGTTTTCCTTTTTTATTGTCTATACTTGTCTTTGATGAATATTAAAATTAGCTTCAAATTTAAAGTATAATTATTAATTATAAATTTAAAATTTTCTAAAATTAAATACATCAGTCCATTTCCATCTCCCTGATATAAGAACTTTAAAAAAATAATTTACTTATATTTGAATGTGATATCATTTGTATTTTGCAATAATAAGATTAATATTTTATTTTTTAACAAATTTATTATCAATATTCACTCATTTCTGTCATTTTTCGTGCCGAAAGCGGTAAAATAAGGGATGTCGTAAAAAAATACGACGCTCGCGTGCTCATCTAAAATTGCCAAGCGCGCGTACTGGAAGGTTAAATGCCGTGAGATGCACTAAACAGTAACAATATAGTATTTGATTTGCATTTTTACTATAAGTGTTCCAAAATTCTCTAATGCTATGATGTTAAATAAATATTAACATCATAGCATAAATAAATTATGCAAAGGAGCAAAACATTAGGCATCCCCAACATAAAAAAGTGTTATTTTCTGCATAAAATTTAATATTGCAGCTATTCGATCGATCAATAAGATGCTCGTACCTATACCAAACCCAAATCATGAAAATCTAAGAGATCCATGAAATCCTTGCTGTTGTAAAGGAATACGCAGCACTCACTGCTTTCAAGATGGATTACCTCATCCTTCTAGCTTCTGTAATCTGTCCAATATCAAACAGTAATAAATCATGGCGATGACCATGTCTATCAAACTTGTACAGAAGCACGATTGCGAAGTCTCGTAACTGTTGCGCGATATATCCATCACTTGTCTCCAGCCGTTTCAATGGCAGAATAATAGCAAGAACTTCAAAGCAATGTTGCTCCCCACATTAACCGCTTCAGGTTAGTTTCTGGAATAAATCCATCTCTAGCGTAAACACAAGAATGAATTTTTTAAAACAGTGTTTATTTTATTACTAACCTTTTATTCTACTGAAATGGCCACTAATATGTGTTCATCGAGTGAGACTTTGTGATTGTGACATTGTGACATCAGCCATTATCAAATGGTGCAGTAATGTGACTAATACCCTCATTAACGTGACAGTTTTTGGTAAAGGAATTATAATGGTTTTTAGGAATTTACAAAATTGGAGAACGGATGTTGGGATATAATAACAATAGGAATTGATTTGCAAATAAAGTAACAAATCACTAAATTTTGACTTATGCAAGGTTATAAATCTAGGCAATATATTGTATTACACAATTGACTTCTATACCATAAAGAAATATTGATCGAATCACCTATACCGCCATTAAGAGCTTAACAAGGCGTAATAGAGCTATTTACTAGTGGGTAAAATGTAAAGTTAAAGAAACTTTTAAATTTTTCAAAAGCTGAGCCTATTTTAGAGAGAAGGTACTTAGCAGATTCTAATCAAAACAAATAAATGTTTCCAATATTCATAAAATAAAAAGGCTGACATCAAAATCAAATTCATACATGCAAAATTAAATAAAATTATTTTAATATAACACTGTACTTAACTAATAAAGTTTTGTAAATGTGTATTATATGCAACATATAATTATATGTTATTATTCACTGTTATTTAAAAGCAAATTTTACACGTTTTGTGGTATTGAACTCTGATTTAAACTTTTATAGGACTATGTTTGGTTTTATAAGGAAGCTGTGCTGCTAACTTGTTGAAGAAATGCGTTAGGTAATATCGGTGGAGAATACCAAAGCCTTGAAATGTTTAACCAAGAGGAAAGATTCAAAAATGAAAGTAATTATAGAGCACAAAAGGCGTGGTGTTGTGGTGTATTTAATTATGGCAAAGCACACTAGGGCTATCTGCCTAAGAGGAGGGATGCCTTTCGTGGAGGACTTTCTAAGGGAAACTGGCTCGTATACACGTTACACATGGGGAAAACCACGAAAACACCCATGCAGCCAGCCCGTTCGCGGGATTCGAACCTCGCGACCGAACTACCAGTGTTCAGCGACTTTTACCGCTCGGCCGCTGGTGGGCTAGAGCACAAAAGGAAATAGCTGTCTAGGTGATAGCTATCCTAGCAGCAATAATGCCAGCTCTCAGCGAAGATATTTCCGGAGATCAACTTTACGTGTATCGTGAATAAGTTAGTTGGAGTTTTGATCACATTTTATGAATTTTTCATCATGATAAACACTTCAGTCAAAATCTTATTGCATTCAAAATCGTTTTGCATTATGAAAACATAATGATGAATATATTAAGGTTGAATGTTTTTCTATTTCGTTTAAAACTAGTTGCTCTAAATCTCAGTTTTAACTTCAAATCACGAATCGAGAATTTAATTTTGTAATACTAGAAATGGTCATTTCACTTAGGTATTTGAATTCATATTAATTGATTGAGAATTATAAAAACTACAAGAAAATTTCAGAACTGTCAAAGTAATGATATTTTATTTTGATTAAAGTAGCTGATCAGCTGCTGTATAAATAGCTTACAGGGTACAAGTTTATTTACTACTAAAAGCTCTATTATGCTAAGGATTAAGGTAATTATTAATAAGCTTACGTAACAGCGATTGTATCTAAAAGCCAAATATATTTCCTTGTTTTGGAAGTTTTCTTCTCATTATGCATTCTTACTTAGGAATAGTTAAACGACGTTTCCACTTGACGTTCCAACCTATTCATAACTAAAAATATTCTTTAATATTGTCATAAAGAAAAATCCCAGAACTGACCTAGGAACTGAAATGAGTAGAAAATAAAAAGGACTTACTTGAACTCTTGCATTAGTGCTGCTGTTGGTCTTCTTGGAGTCTCCAGTGCTGACACTGGGCGTTCCATTCTTCTTGCCAGGGGTCTTGGGAATTTCATTCGAGAAGAGGATCCTGGCAATTAATCCATACAAGATGCAAGACAAAATCAGGGGCAGAATGTAGAAGAGAACGAGATCTGTGAAGAAGTAGCCAGCATAGTGCTCTCTCGACAGGGCAAATGTGCATGTCTCCTTGTTCTGATGGCCTTTGTAATAAATGGGTTCAATCTTCGTTAGAATAAGCCAAGGGCAGCAGTAGATAGCCGCAAATATCCAAACCCCTATTATGATTTTCTTAGCTCTGTTGACTGTGCACACCATCTGTGCCTTCATTGGGTGACATATGGCTATGTATCTCTCTACTGTAAATGCAGTTATGGATAGAGATGATGCATTGATGCCAAAATACTGGAGGAAGACGAATATTGCACAGCCCCATCGTCCCAGTATCCATTCATCACCTGTTAAAGAATAGTAAAACTATGTATCAAAATAAACACCAATATTTTAGTATTCATGCATAATATTTAAGCAATGAACTTCGCTAAAGTAAATTCTGATTCGTAATGAATTTTATTATTCTTTTTAGTCAATAAATATGCAGAAATTTCAAGATACATTGTGAAATATTATGTGTTTATATCAGGTTTACTAAGACATTATTATTCTTGAACGTACATTACTATTTTTTATTGAACATTTTCAAAAAATAATAATATGTATTTCCTTATGTAATGCTCTACATCCCTCTATCAGTTGCCGAATGGTCAAATCGTAAAGCACTAATATTTCGAGCTTGCTAATGTAAAAGGCTGACATTACCTACATTACATTACCTTGGTTCGCATTCAGGCGGAACAGCTACGTAAGTCGTCTGTATAAACTAAATTCGAGACAGTTCCCATTAAGAAGTCCTTCACTGAGGCATATATATCCTCGGGCAAATAATATTCATGTGTCTTGTCATATTTAGGTAAGCTAATTGACTATATGGACTTACTTCCAAACTAACTTAACTCGAAAACTTCAGGTATCATTATTTAATTTTAAGGAAGCACTAATTTAATATTTATTCAGTAGATCCAGTTATTAAATTTCCGTTAATTAAGCTTAGAAAATCATTATTCCTTACTGGCTGTTTATTCTGAATGAAATACAGAAAAAAATATTATTCTTATAATTGCTTAAGATATAATAGATCTTTCAATTGTTTTTGTATAATAATGAATACATTTTTAAATGAGATTATAAAATCGTAAACTAAATATTTGTAATGTTATGATGTATATTTTTTCTTTTCGGAGTTTTAGTTTTTCAACTGCCATAAGAACAATTAATATTATCTCTCTTTCTCTCTCTCTCTCTCTCTCTCTATATATATATATGTATATAATGAATAAATACAAAATAAAAAATAGTCCAAATCTAATCCAAAATTAAAAAAAAATAAAATAAAATAAAAAATACGTTTAAAATTTGTCCGATATTTAATTCGAAATAAAACGCAATGGCAAACGGTAAGAAACAGGTGGGCAAAATACTCCAAAACCAAAAATGAAACATATATATATATATATATAAATGCTTATATGTTATTTAACAAAACCATGAACAAAATCAATAAATCCTATGATAGTTAAAAAGATAAGTAGTTAAAACGGTATTTCATTCTTATTCTAGAATTGAGGACACTTTTTGAAGCTGTTTTTGTGACTCGTTTGTTTAAAATTAACATATTTATTAATAACTGCAAAAAATATTGTTTTACCAGATCATTTAAGAGAATTCATTTCAAATAAAAATTCTGAGCAGCATTTCATATGTACAGAATACTTCAGATATATTATGTATAATGTTAACAAATTTTATAAAAATGGGATTGTAATTGAGAATTGTAAAACAAGAAAAAGGCAAAGAATCCGAACTTAAATCATCGATTACTATGAAAGCAGCTTTTCTTATATTGAGTAGGAAACGCCTAATAATAATTTATACAAAGGTGATATTGATGCTTAAAAATTGAGATGAAATTATATTCTGTTTAACATGAATATTGCGAAGCGGTACCACGTCTCTTGAACTGTGTTTTAAAGCCTCACTTTTGTAGACAATCCAGTATTGGCATTTAATTATTTGAGTTGTAGAAAACACATTTTCAATTTGATAAAAAATCAAGATCTGCCCATCCGATAAGTATAAAGTTAGCGTTGCTGCTTGCCGTGCTGTTGGTTCCGAGTTCAAAATCCGGAAAGTCTTGAATGCTATATGAGTATAGCATCTTTGCGGCACTGGGCATTTCAAATACAAGATGGATAAAAAATACTCTCGATCTGATTGGTAGTAGGGAAAGATTGAATGGGAGTCCTTAAGACCTAGTCTTCAATGCGTTCTTCTCCGTAAACTGGGACGAATCTGGCCAAACTTTTAGTGTCATCTAAAAGTTACCCAAATCCCACGGCAACGGCAGACGCATTCCTTTTCTCCTAGCCGCAATAAAATTTCTGGACTTGATCTCATGTCACCATTACACAATTTGGGTAAATTATCAAACAAAAATCAATATCTTATACAATTGCGTGGTAGCAGAAAAAAATTATTGTCTGAAGTCAATGTTACAACAGTCAGGTACTTTCAGTTAAAACTTGAAATTAGCCTTTTTTAGGTTTGCAGGTTTATTTCTAACGAAGAAACAAATATGTCCATGAAGTTGATCAAAATTAAGTGCATCAAGAACAGTTTGCTGAATGTGAGTCGTTTAGTCCGTGGTGTATGAATGCGATCCCAAAGCATAGATTCTAGCATCCTCAAGAGAGAAGAGGATTGTTACGATGTTAAAGAAGAGGATTGTTGAATTGAGCCTCCAGCAAAAAGACTGAAGAATTCTAGAAGTCTTTATTTTACTCGAGTTGTAAAGACATTAGGTTATTCCGAAGCAGGAGAGATGAAAAATGAGCAGCAGTTTCGCCGGGAATCAAATCACGGACCTCTGGAATACACGCCCAGCTTACTGACCTCTACACTACGAAGGAGTGCTAAGAAGGAGGAAGATATACCATGTAAAGTGAGTTCAAGCATTCCTTAACGACCAAACTTGGGTAATACGCAGTGTGAAAAGAAGCAGGCACCTGCTATTATTTCAGAGAAAAGTAATCGAAAAAATAGTTAAGGTGGCTGATCAGGCAGTACTAGGCAAAACGTTAGCGAAGAATGTAGACAGCATCAAACATAGCTGAGAGACCTGTGTTAGATTGTATGGAATGACATTATCCGTTGTATTTAAGGCTTATTTTTTGGGGAATTCTGTATTAGTTCTTTTCTGTTGTGCGTAAAACGTTAGCACACATTTTATATAAATAATTAGCTATCAGACACGTAGAAAAGGTCACCATGTAAGTAATTTACTCACTCAAATTTCAGTCAGTTTAATTCACAGAAATACCAAAAAAAAAATGAATGAGTATCTACTAGGATTTATGAAAAAGAGAGATAAGAAAATAGTACAATATTTCATTATTATAACTTTGTTTGTCAACAACTCGATGTCGCAAGCAGGCAAAGGGGAATTTTTTCTCTCTGTCAAGCTTTTGCATCCCCCGCTCCGGAACACATCTGATCAATATTCCAATAACTGGCGACTGCTTTCCTTGAAGCAGAGTTTTCGGAAGTTATTGATGTCTGTATCTACCAATAAATATGATATAAACTTTTCTTTTATAAAGTTTCGAGACTTAATTCGTCAGAAATTTCATCTCAGAAGAAGCATGAACTGTCAATACCTTTCACAGTTATTACATGATAGTGTAAGCTTTAAAAGGAAGCCTGCGTGAATATTTTAACGGAGCGAAAGTATGACAGAGAAACTTTGTATATTTTTGCATCCAATGCAGATCCATAGAAAAGACAGTATATATTTTATTTTTCTTCGTTCAAGCTATACATATATCCCAGGACTACAAGCTTATTTTTGTCTAAGTATTTACTTGTTAAATAACGTTAGAAAGTTTACCTATCAATTAATATTTTTTGCTGTATTGGTAATATAATGAGTTTTAGATATTGCACACTGATTTCTAAAAATGATTAAAATGTATGAGTAAGTATGAAAAGAATGTAAAATAAACTAAAATATAATAAGAATTTCAAGAAGTTTTTAAAATGTGGAGTATTAATTTCCGTCACTGTATTCTCTTTTAAGTATATGGAAATATCTGACAATTGCAAAAAGTGACCAAAAACATTTTACTGGTATTTTTACCTTTAATTTGATGAATAATATGCCAATATTCAGACATACCTTAATCTCCAGAAACAATAAAGATGGTAATTGAATACATTAGCTACGACTGGGCAAGGAAAAATGAAATAGATAGCCCTACATAAACTTCATAATAATTCATTTAATTAATTTTGAATTAATCGGCAAACATTGTCCATATATGAAAATTATTATCCATGGAGGTAACAACAAAATTTATAATCTTGGATCATATCATATTCATGCATCTTTACTAGCTGAAAAACAAACAATTTTATAGAAATATACTGAAAAATGCATGGCATGTTTTTAGCGAAACCTACGCCAGAAACTGTACATAAAGCTTCAACATAAACAACTGTACATAAACAACTGTACATAAACAACTGTACATAAAGCATAAAGCTTCAACGGGCAATATATTCAATTAATGCCAAAGATGAGTTATTGAAAACATCTAACTATTATCCAGAATCTTTACAAAGGAAATGATTTAAAAGTAACTGAGGACAAATATAAAAAAAAAGATTTCACTTACCAGATAACATTGAATCTGAAAATTCCTGAAAAGACGACCGATATTTTGAAATGAATATCAAAGTAATGGATAGTTATTGAATTACTTTTAAATCCATTACAGAATGCACAGCCGAGTCGTTGTTCATGAATGGTTGAAACCGACTACGTATACTGCATATAAATTGGAGATTTGCCAACAAATCAAACATAATGATCGAGTCCTTCGTAGGTAATTTTCTGTAGACATTTTTGAGTGTATCTGCTATGAGAATCATTTGTTCGGAAAACCGTATTGAGAGATGAAGCAACATTTCGTGTTTGAGGAAAGGGTAATGGATATCACTGCAGGATTTGGGTGTCAGAAGACCTGCATTTTGTAAGTGAAATTGCGCTAGGTAGCATTTAAATCAATGTTTGATGCGCACTAACTCAACAAAGTGATTGGTCCCATCGTTTCTCAGAGTCATCAATTAATTCGGATGATTACTTCGATATGATGAGATTGTTTGCCATAACGCAATTAGAAGAAATACAGCAAACTTTGTTTTCCAACAGCAGGAGGACCTTCTGTCATTGGCTATTCATTTGTATGTTACTTGATGAAACATTCGCTGATTGTTGGATTGGTAGAGACGGACCAATTTTACAGCCAATCCGTTCTCCGAAAATCATCACTCGACTTCTTTT